ATTATGCCAAAGCAGAGCCATTGCCAGCCTGTCTGCTGCCTCATGCCAGCAAGGTGAGTCAGCAGATCAGCCACAATGCCTGCCATCAATGAAATGGCTGCTGCTTCCCATCCATCAAGAATCTTCCTCAAGAATCTCTTTTCTGGTCAATGCTATCTGGAAAAATATAGGAAAGAAAATGCTGAAAAATGTATATGGTGGTGCAAAAGTAATTGCGTCTTTTGCCATTAATTTAATGGAAAAATAAACACAAATACTTTTGCACCAACCTAATAATTTAGCCCACCCAAGTTGACCTGTCACAAAGCCACAATGATTCTCTTGCTTTATAGATGTGAAAAGTCAGTCTTGGATAAATTCTGAGATATCTATATCTAAGATTTATCAAGAATTGAGAGTAAAGAAATCCTGTTAACCTTCCAGTATTCTTCTTTTCTCTATAAACAGGATAACACCTAGGTTTCATTTTACTTGCCAAACATATAGACTGGTAGTTGGGAAGAATTCTGAGAATAAGAATTTCTTTACTGATCAGTGGTGTCTGCTGTAGGCACAGGAGGAAGAAGCCATGATACATATGCCACAAATGGGCCCCTGATCCTGTACTACTTTGATTCTCTTCAGAAAAGAAGGTTGGCTTTTACGGGGTGTTGTTTTTTAGTTTTTGTTTGTTTTTAATGAGACCGGGGCTCACTCCGTTGTCCAGGCCAGAGTGCAGTGACATGATCATGGCTCACTGCAGCCTTGAACTTCTAGGCTAAGCAATCCTCCAGTCTCAGCCTCCCAAATAGCTGCGGCTACAGGCACACCCTACCATGGCCAGAACACTTCTTTCAAGTTTTGTAGAGATGATGCGTTGCTTTGTTGTTCAGGCTGGTCTCCATCTCCTGGCTTCAAGTGGTCCTTCTGCCTCAGCCTCCTAAAGTGCTGGGATTACAGGTGTGAGCCACCACAACCAGCCAGAAAAGAGTTTAAGGGATGTGATAAATAAATCAATTATAAAACCATGTGTACTTATTAAATGACTTAATATTGGGGGCAAGGAACTCTGTAAATTTACAGAATAGCTATCAAGAAGATAATCACATGCTTTCACAAAACACCCCTGTTGAAGCTAGCATACAGGGCTAAATGGCCATATCTAATATTTTCTGGGCACATAGAGATGAATGGATTTTTCTAATATTCACTTTCTTATTAACAACTGCTTAGAAACACAATGGTTTTCACGTACAAACATTCTTTTTGACATTGAAATTACAAACATAAAACTGTTGCTATTCTGCAATCAACTATTCATACTAAGTGAATTTATCAGGTCTTAATTGGGGCTAATTTGAAAGTTGGGTTTTCCATGGTAGCAGCATCCAGTGAGGAATTTAAGAAATGTTCTCCCATTTGGATAGTGTATATTCTAACAAGCTTACATAGAGCTTGCTGATTTATATCAACAAACAAACATTTATCTTTTATATACACATGCCTTATCTCCTCTCATTGACACTGTGAAGCAGGTATAATTCCTGTTTTTACAGATGAAGAAATTCAGGTTCACATATGTGAAACTGCTATGGCAATAGCAATAATAGCTGGTAAGTGATAGTGTAGTAATTCCAACCCTGATTTGTTGACTGCAAAGCTCATTTATTCTTTAATGGCTATTTCAAATATGCATGCTGATCCCAGGCAAGAGAGAATGCTGTCATTCTGGGGCAGACTTAGGAAGGAATTCTACTTTCTATCTGGGACCTCCATTCATTGACTGCTTTCCCATTCATCTTCATGCATGCTTGCGTGAAGTACATAATGCTGCCCCTTTCTTGATAGGAGAAAGTTGTATTTGTTTGTCTGAATCTCTCTTTCCACTCTCTTCACACACACACACATACACCCCACCACAGAAAAATAGGAATGGGAATATAGTGAAGGATGATGGTGGAATGTTCTTGAGTTTTCAGCAAAGTTCTATCCTGAAGTATGTGCATCTATCTTTATATTTGCCTTAGCTTCACTAGAATAGGTGCCCTGTTAAAGCAGACAGTGAAAATAGGACCTTTCTGCACTGAATATATTATACGTTGACAACTATAGATGTTTAGGATTGGTGGGAAATTGAGATATGCTCCTTGCAGATACACCAAAGGGAAGATGATCACAAGGATTTGCAAAGGGAACTAACATTTTCAGTTAGTGCTTGTCACTGTAATTCTTAATCTTCGCAACTATGTTCTAAGATTGGTCTCATCTTTCTGATTGTATTAGTGAAGAAGATGAGGTTCAGAAAGCTGGAGGAAACTTCTTGAGGCTCTAAAGATAGTAAGAGCTAATTATTATTATGCTCACAAAGCTCTTGCTTATCGTGAAGTAAAAACTTTCTTCTTAGTTTACCCTTTGGGGCCACAAAAGAAGTCTAAATTTTGGGGTAATAAATAAATCTTTAAGGATAGGAAAGTGGGTCTAAATTAAAAGGCAGAAATTCCTCTTTAGGATAATTAGACACAACTGAGCAATGGACATTCATCAGGGGTTTCAGCAGACTTGTCTATAAATAAACTCCTTTCTCCAGGGCAGTCCCATTTACTCAGCGGCAACATCCATATTAACAGGAGCTGCTATGAACTGAAAATTAGCTGAGTGCTCCTCAGTAACCAAAAGAAGTCTATATTTTTCCCTGAAATTGTGTATCTGAGAAGAATGAGATTTAGAGTAGGTCAGTAAATTTCCTAAAGTTATACAGTACGTAAGGGACAGAGCCAGGATTTGAATGTCATCAGTCTGACACTGACACCACCACCATGCTCTAAAATCTATAGTCCACCAGTAAAATAAAAAAAAAAAAGACCAGTCCAAAAGAAGCAGGGTGGGGAAGGGGAGGAGAAGGTAAAAAGAAAGCCAGACAGCCTCCACCAAAAACTCAAGGGCTCCCCTGCTCTCCACACTACTATTTTCAGCAGCTGACAATAAAATGCAATTCATAACAACAAAAATCCCAAAAGTGTTTTTGAAAGGTGCTTTTTTTTTTTACTGTACAGTTTAATAGACAATTTTTAGAGCACTTTCAGGTTCACAGCAAAATTGAGTGGAAAGTACAGGGATTTGTCATATACATGTCCCCTGCACCCATTCACACACAATCTCACTCACTAGCGACATAGATGAACTTACACTGGCACATCATTATCATCATTGAAAGTCCACAGTTTACATTAGGGTTCACTCTTGATGTTCTATATGCTATGAATTTTGATAACTGTAAAATGACATGAATCTGCCATTGCAGAATCCTATAGCATAGTTTCACTGCCCTGAAAATCCACTCTGTGTTCTGCCTCTTCAACTATCCCTCCTTTTGAACCCTGGAAACCGCTGATCCTTTTATCATCTACATAGATGATGCCTTTTGCCTTTCCAGAATGACATGTTGTTGGAATCATGCAGTATATAGACTTTTTAGCTTCTTTTGCTTAGAAATATACACTTAAGTTTTCACCATGCTACTTAATGCCTTGGTAGTTCCTATCTTTTTAGCATTGAATAACATTCCATATTGGGATGTATCAGAGTTTATCCATTTATCTACTGAGGTATATCTTGGTTGTATCCAGATTGGGCTGATTATGAATGTAGCTATACACATATCTGTCCAAGTTTTTATATGAACATAACTTTCCAATTCATTAAGGCAAATATCAAGGAGGGCAACTGCCAGATCACATGGTGAGATTATGTCCAGTTTTTGAAGAAACTGTCAAACTGTTTTCCAAAGTGGCTAACCATTTTACCTCTATTTCCACCAGCAAAGAATGAGCTCCTATTGCTGCACATCCTGTTTTGCACTTCGGCTCTTCTAATAGTTGTGTAGCGGCATCTCATCGTTGTTTTGCTTTGATTTGTAATTCCTTAAGGGCATGTGATATTGAACATATTTCCCTAGTCTTATTTGCCACCTGAACATATTCTTTACTGAGGTGTATGCTCAGCTTTTTTGCCTATTTTTTAATCAAGCCATGTGTTTTCTTACTATTGCATTTTAGGAGTTGTTTGTATATTTTGGATAGTAGTCCTTTATCAGATGTGTCTTTTCTAAATGTTTTCTGCCAGTGTTTTTTTTTTTAAACCAATCCAACAAAGTGTATTATACCTTTAGAGTCTTGAAGTTGTGTACTATCAGTCCTCCACCTTTGTAATCCTTTAATATTGTGTGGAATTTTTAACCTGTTTGTATAAACTTTAAAGCTAGTTTTAAAAATCACTTGCTGGGATATTGATTGGGATTGCACTGAATCTATAGATCCAGGTGGAAAGAACTGATGTCTTTACAGTACCAGCATGGAGTATTTATTAATATGGAATAGCTCTCCATGTATTTAGTTCTTTTAAATTTTGTCATCAGAGTTTTGTAGTTTTTCTCATATAAATTGTATACATACATGTAGTTTGCTAGATCTATACCTAAGTATTTATCTTTGGGAGTGCTAATGTAAATGGTGATGTGCTTTTAACTTAAAATTCCAATCATTTATTGACAGTATTTGGAAAGGAATTGACTTTCGTGCATAAACTTTGTATCCTGCCACTTTGCTGTCATCACTTACTTGTTTCAAGAGCTCCTTGTTGATTCTTTCGGCTTTTCTACATAGGCAATCAAGTCAGCAGCAAAGAAGGTTTTATTTCTTCCTTCCCAGTCTTTATATGTTTTATTTCCTCTCCTTGTCTTATTTCATATGCTAGGACTTCCAGCATAATATTGAAAAGCAGTGTTAAGGGGGAACATACTTGCTTTATTCCTGATATTAGTGAAATAGCTTCAAATGTTTCATCATTAAATGTGTTAGCAATTTGTTGGAGATGTTCTTTATAGGTCAAATTGAGGAAGCTCCCCATTACTCCTAGTCTGTTGAGCGTTTTTATCATGAAAGAGTGGATTGGGAAAATGTGGCACATATACACCATGGAATATTATGCAGCAATCAAAAATGATGAGTTTGTGTCATTTGTAGGGACATGGATGAATCTGGAGAACATCATTCTCAGCAAACTGACACAAGAACAGAAAATGAAACACCGCATATTCTCACTCATAGGCGGGTGATGAAAAATGAGAACACATGGACACAGAGAGGGGAGTACTAAACACTGGGGTCTATTGGGGGGAAAAGGGGAGGGCCAGTGGGAGGGGGAGATGGGGAGGGATAGCCTGGGGAGAAATGCCAAATGTGGGTGAAGGGGAGAAAGGAAGCAAAACACACTGCCATGTGTGTACCTATGCAACTGTCTTGCATGTTCTGCACATGTACCCCAAAACCTAAAATGCAATAAAAAATTTAAAAAAAAGAGTGTTGAATCTTGTCAAAGGTTTTTTTCTGTACATATTGATACGATCATGTGATTTTTCTTTCTTCAGCCTGTTGATGTCATGTATTACACTCATTGATTTTCAGGTGCTGATCTAGCCCTAGGTACTTGAGATAAATCTCATTTAGTAATGGTATGTATCTCTTTTTATACATTGTTGGATTAAATTTACTAATATTTTATTGTTGATTTTTGCCTCTATCTCCATGACACACATTGAACTGCCATTTTCTTTTCTTGAAATGCCTTTGTCTAGTTTTGGGATTATGGTTATGCTGGCTTCATAGAGTAAGTTAGGAAGTATTCCCTCTGCTTCTACCTTTTGGAAGATATTGTAGAAAATTGGTCTAGAATCTGTCATAAATATTCAGTAGAATTCATGGGTGAGGCCGGGCACGGTGGCTCAAGCCTGTAATCCCAGCACTTTGTGAGGCCGAGGCGGGTGGATCACGAGATCAAGAGATCGAGACCATCCTGGTCAACATGGTGAAACCCCGTCTCTACTAAAAATACAAAAAATTAGCTGGGCATGGTGGCATGTGCCTGTAATCCCAGCTACTCAGGAGGCTGAGGCAGGAGAATTGCCTGGACCCAGGAGGGGGAGGCGGTGAGTGGAGATTGCGCCATTGCACTCCAGCCTGGGTAACGAGTGAAACTCCGTCTCAAAAAAAAAAAAAAAAAAAAAAAAAATAATTCATGGGTGAAACCACTTGGACCTAGTACTTTGTTTGGACAGATTATTATATTAATTCAAATTCTTTGATAGATATAGACTTATTCAGAGAGTAATTTTTTTTATGTGAGAAATAATAATCTTTTGGAAGATGGTCTTCCAAAGAGTTGGTTCATTTTGTCCAATTATTAAATGGCTGGGCACAGAGTTGTTTGCATTGTTCCATTTCTAATCTTAGTAATTTGTGTCCTCTCTCCTCTTTCCTTAGGCAGATAAAGGATTTTCAATCTTCCTGATCTTTTCAAAGAGCTGGCTTTCGGCTGCATTCATTTCTCTACTGATTTCCTGTTTTTGATTTTATTTATTCCTGCTTTGTTATTATTTATACTCTTCTACTTACTTTGGATTTAACTTGCTCTTCCTTTTCGGGTTTTCTAAAATGGAAGCTTATTGATTTTAGCTTTTTATTATTTTCTAATATATGCATTCCATTTTATAAATTTTTCAGTACAAAATAATTTCACTATATCCCCTTTGATAAGTTATATTTTCATTTTTATTTAGCTCAAAATCCTTACAAAACTCTCTTAGGATTTCTTTTCTGAACCATGTGTTGTTTAGAGGTATGTTTAATCTCTCGGTATTTGGGGATTTTTTTTTAACCTATCTTTCTGTTATTTGTTCTTTGTATAATTCCATTGTGGTCTGAGCATACACTGTATAATTTCTGGTCTTTTAAATAAGTTAAGGTGTGTTTTATGGCCCCAAATATTGTTTATCTTGGTAAAAAGTTTTATGTGGGCTTTAGAAGAATGATACTGTTGTTGAAAAAGGTGGCATGTGAATTATATTTAGTTAATGTCAATTATATCCAGTAGATTGATGTAGTCATTGAATTCAGCTTTGTTCTTACTGATTTTCTGCTTACTGGATTTGTACATTTTGAATAAAAGTGTGGATGTCTTCCTGGAGAATTTACTGCTATATTGTTTTGTAATGCCTTTTTCTATCCCTGATAACGTTCCTTGCTCTGAAGTCTATTCTCTTTGAAATTTATGTAGCTACTCCAATTTTCTTTTAATTAGCATGCCGTAACCTTCTCCACCCTTTTGTTTTTAATCTGTGTCTTATTTAAAATGGATTTCTTATAGACAACATAAAATTGGGTCTTTGTTTATTCTGTTCCACTCTGACAAAATTTATCTTTTAACTGATTTTAGACTACTAACATTCAAACTTATTGTCAGGATCGTAAGATCTATATTATTCTACATGATTTTACTTTTTTTCCTTCCTTAGCATATTATACTACTTTTTAAAATTTCTTTCAGGGATTGCCTGAGTGGTTACCTTTAACTAGGTAATTCAAGTCCACTTTCAAATATAGCATGCCTACAAATGTGCCTATGTGCAAGGTTTTGAGGAGCATTTATCATGGTTGGTGTTTTCTGAACTTCCCAGGTCTGTGGTTTGTTGTATGCCATTAATTTGTGGAAACTCTCAGTCATTATTGCTTCAAATATTGCTTCTATTTTCCTTTTTATTCTTCCCTGGTATTCACATTTTGAGTATTTTATAGTTATTCCACTGTTCTTGAATATTTTGTTCCTTTTTTTCTTTGCTTTTTAATTTTGAATGTTTTTATTGACATATCCTCAAGCTAAGAGTTTCTTTCCTCAGCTGTGTCCAATCTACTGGTGAGTTCATCAAAGGCATTTTTCATTTCTCTTACCATGTTTTGATCCTTAGCATTTCTTTTTGACTCTTTCTTAGAATACCTATCTTTCTGCTTACATTACCCATCTCTTCTTACATATTGTTTACTCTTTTCATTAGAGACCTGAGCATATTAATCCTTGTTTTAAATCCATCATTCCAACATCCTGGCCATATCTGGTTCTGATGTTTGCTCTGTTTAAACTGTTTTTTGTTTGTTTGTTTTCACTTTTTAGTGTGCCTTGTAATTTCTCATTGATAGAGGATACCATGCACTGGGTAAACAGAACTGTGATAAATAGCGCCTCCAGTAATGTGATGTACTATGTAGAGGAGGGGAAGCATTTTATACTCCTATGATTAGGTCTCACGTCTCAGTCTTTTAATAAGCCTGTGCTTTGGACTAGAAACTTCACTAATGCTTTTCAGTTTGTTTGGGATTTCTACCCCCTACCCCCACCTTCTTAGGTGGTACAGGAAATGTAGAAAAGTTAGGCATTTTCCTTCCCCATGTAAGTTATCCTCTAGTAAAACCCCAGTGGCTTAATTTTTCTGGAAGGCAGGCCTAGTGAGAGAGAGCAGAGTCCTCTGCTGCATTTCAGGAATGGCTTTTCCCCCCGAGTCCCTGCTGGAAGCCTTAGGGAATTTTCAACAATCTGCACTGTGAGAAGCTGGCAGAGAACTCACAAAAGAGTGGGGCCCTCTACAATTGGATCTCCCTGGAAGTTCTCAGACTTGTCCACACTGCACCTCCAGCAGCTTGTCAACTACAGTTCAGATATGCCCATGCCAGCATTAGTTCTGGGGTGGGTCCTGCGGGTCTGTGTCTGCTCCAGTAAGCTCTGATTCTCTGGTTATGCTTATCTGTCTCTCCAATAATGAGGGCAGCAAGTTTGCCCTGTGACCTCAGCGTTCTGATGAATCTGAAAAGAGTTGCTGTTTTTCCAGCTTTTTACTTATTGTTGAGATGGAGTGGCAGCTTCTAAGCTCCTTCTCTGATGGCCCAGAAACCAGAAGTCTTTCAATAGTATTATAATCCCTTTTTCCTTTTAAACCATTTAGTACATCCATGTTGTAAACTAGACAAAGGCAGAAAAGACAGAAGAACGAGGATCTTATAATGCCATTTACTCCAAGAATATAGCAAGAGTAACTGTTTTACTGAAATAACTCATAAAAAGGTCAGATGTTTGAGATCTCAGTGACAGTAGCATTACTGTTTTTAGACTGACAGATTTACAGAGTGACCTTTCTGCTTTTTTAAACTATACTCATTTTATTTGATCTTGCACTTGAGCATGTGATACAAATAGTAGATAATTTTCTCACAAGGCCCTAAATGCCACATTTGAACATTAGATGCTTGAACATATAAAATATTGCCATATAGTAGCTTAAGGAATATGTATAATTCTATTAAAATATAAGAACTACAACAAAGTAAGCAACAGACTGGGAAAAAGAAACACACACACACTTAGGTACAATTTGACCCTATTGTAATTAATCTTTAAATGCATAATCTCACACCACACCTCCAATTTTTACTTCAAAGTGTCATTCATTACTCCTTCTGTCAGGACAATTGGTTTGATGTCAAAACACAGCTCCTTGCCTCTGTGGCGCTCCCACATACTTAACTTTATAGCCGTAAACTATGAAAACTGCTGCTACCCAGCTATACAGGACATGCTGCTGTTTCTTAAAAATAGTTGTTATTTAAGAATTTTGTTGGCTGGGCGCGGTGGCTCAAGCCTGTAATCCCAGCACTTTGGGAGGCCGAGGCAGGTGGATCACGAGGTCAAGAGATCGAGACCATCCCGGTCAACATGGTGAAACCCCGTCTCTACTAAAAATACAAAAAATTATCTGGGCATGGTGGTGTGTGCCTGTAATCCCAGCTACTCAGGAGGCTGAGGCAGGAGAATTGCCTGAACCCAGGAGGCAGAGGTTGCCGTGAGCCGAGATTGCGCCATTGCACTCCAGCCTGGGTAACAAGAGCGAAACTCCATCTCAAAAAAAAACAAAAAGAATTTTGTTTTGTTGTTCTTGTTGTTAAAAATGAGTTTCTGGAACTTAACACATTGTAAAAGGCCCTGTAATTGAAAATGGTAATATACAGCAACCATTTTCAGTTATTCAAATATGCTTCCTTTCAGTTAGTTAAATACAGTAAGCATGTTCACACCATAGGCTTCTGTGCATGCTGTTCTCTCTGCTTAGAAAGCTCTTCCTCCAGATATTCACAAATTCATGTCCTCACTTTATTTAGACCTTTTGTCAACTATCAGAAAATCCCAGAGAGATCTTCCCTGACCCACCTCTCTAATATAGAAGCTGCAATCCCCTTGTTTCCTTGATTTGTATTATTTGTCTTCATAGAAACTGACTGGGAAAACGCTAATTGTTTATCTGTATACTGCCTGTCTACTCCACTAGAATGGGGTCTTAGTCTCTTTTCTGTAGGGCTGTATGCCCATTGACTAACAGAATGTGCCTGACACAGAGAAGATGCCCAATAAAGCTTTGCAGAATGAACAGATGCTTTTTCCAAACATATTCTCTCCCAATATGTATGCTGAGATAATGTCACATCATCTTTCTTCTTGTGTGAATGCTAGGTAAAAGAAAAGTGTGCCTGTTCTTTTATTCTTGGTTCAGCCCTTGGTTATTGGTGTACAGGAGACCGGCTTCGGTGGTGGAATCCTGCCAAAAGCTCCTGTGTGGCTTCTTTAGGAGGCTCAAACTCTACTCCAGAGTTATTACTGGTACCCACAAATTTGTACATGAGCCATAATCTGTTGATATAATATCTAATCAGTATAACAGCTTCGGTAATATGAATAGGCATACCATTGAAATGTATTGTTAATATCTAAATATTCATAATCAAATGAAGGCAAATATTCTAGCTGTAACTTGAATGAAACCCTTTTATATGCTATATTTTAAAATTGTATCAGTTGGATGAAATATTTGTATGTATTATTGCAAGAAAAATTATTCCATAATTAATGACTGAAAGCCATTAACTTTATATATAAAAATCAATATTAAACAATTTCAAGCAGCTGAATAGAGTAATATAGTTAATTTGAGAATACTAGATAGATTCTGCATAACTAACTATATGAGAAACATACTTCTAATAAAAAGCAACAATATTTAAAAATCTATATAATAGAAATTATTTTAAAAAGAGAGAAATTGTTATCATAATTCTAGTACTTAATAGAGTAATTACATACTGGCATTCCTATTATATACAGCAATCCTTAAATTTTAGTTAATTTCACCTATACTTTACAGCTTATTTAAAAGCATCCTACTCATGAATTTTCATATCTATAAGGATGAATTAAAAACTACATTTTCATGAAAAGAAAAATTTTCAAAATTATATAGAAAACATTCACACTAAATTACTTTGATTCAAAGCAATAAACAATATAAATAAATAGTCTGAAGAAGGAAAAAATTAGAGGCAAATAAAGGTATCCCAAGAACCAATATTTTTCACTAATTAAATTTCAAAACAATTATTACAAAAGTATTTAAATAAAATTTGTCCTATAGTTCTGACTGTAGAAGAAAATATTAATGAAACACGTCAATAGGACTGATATTGATACCCAACCATTTTTGAATTTTAAAGGTTTGATGGCCCAGTGGAGTTACAGTGATTTCCACTATACCTCTGTTTGCTTGCTAGCTCAGAGAATTTTGTATCCCATGTAAAATAATAACACAGTGAATTTCATTGAAGAAATACATATAAAACAGAAAATAATTTTTAAAACAATGTTATGCCACTGATGTTGCAAATGGCACCCATGTGGTCTACGCTTTAAGTAAGCTTTAAGAAGCCAAAAGCATACACTGTTTTAACACCCATTAATTGTGCATTCAGAAAGAAATTGTAGTACAAAATAATATTTTAAAAATTCCATTGCCGGCCGGGCGCGGTGGCTCAAGCCTGTAATCCCAGCACTTTGGGAGGCCGAGGCAGGTGGATCATGAGGTCAAGAGATCGAGACCATCTTGGTCAACATGATGAGACCCCGTCTCTACTAAAAATACAAAAAAAAAATTAGCTGGGCATGGTGGTGCGTGCCTGTAATCCCAGCTACTCCGGAGGCTGAGGCAGCCTGAACCCAAGAGGCGGAGGTTGTGGTGAGCCAAGATTGCGCCATTGCACTCCAGCATGGGTAACAAGAGCGAAACTCCGTCTCAAAAAAAAAAAAAAAAAAAAAAATTCCATTGCCTTATCAGGAATGTACTGGGAGTTTTGCATTTTTTTGTAGCGGAAGAAAAACTACATAATATATAAGACATTTGAGCGCTGCCCTCTAGAATACCTATGCAAGATATTCAAATGTGGTAAAATTGCAATTACAGATCAAAAAGATTTATTGAATAAAATAAATCTTTAATAATTTATTTACAAGACAACCCATAGCCAACCAGCATTGACCTCTTTCATCAATAGTTTCAAACGGAAAATGCAGTGAGTGTGATGGATACTGCTGAAGTAACCAGAGTAATTTCAAAACTTTATAAATTTTTAATATTTTATCTGCTGCAAAAATTCTTCCATGATTCCACTCACGTAAGATGCTAAAATTAATATTCATTAAATGGAAACTGAGCTACAGACAATAAATCAAAGGCAATTTTGTTATCTTGAAAACTAATTACATTGCTTTCATTTCTGCATTTCCGGGTCTTAAGGGTATTCTTCCCACAGGGATTATGTCAAACAGCAAGTGAATGCAAAGCAATATTAGAGATAAGATATATGAGCGAAGGCAATAATTCTAAGCCTAAACTCTGAAAATATTCAGAAAACATCTTTTTTGAAATACTGCATGAAGCTTTAATTTATAAGATTGCTTCAAAGAAATTGCATTATGTAACACAAATCAAGTTCAGGGGTTATGTCAGGAGATAGGGAGTGAAAAATGAAATAATTAGGCGGCAGCTACCAGTTGAACACTGTCAGCTGAACGAGTGAAAAAACTATCTTGGTCGGAAAAAACCATGACGGAAGCAAGCTTGTAGATGAAGGCACTAGGAAATTAACATTTGTGTCCTTCAATGCCAAACTTATAAAATTTGACTCTTTGATTACAATTTAAAAATTGTAGTAATAGTTAATTTGTTGGTACTCAAATTCTCATATTATGAAGTTTCTTCTCTGAAAGTAGTATTTTCCTTTTGCTAAATATTGATTTTAAACACTGGCCCATTAAGTCCAAAGAGATGTGCAGAGGACCTGTCAAGAATGAGGCTTTCGAGAGACAGTGAATAAAACCAAGATGGTGTTCCCACCCTTCCAATGCTTATATTTCAGTGGGAGATAGGAAAGAAACAAAGGCATGCTGGATGTCTAAAATGCTATGAAGACAAAGCAAACAGGGTATGCAATGGACAGGAGGAAGGTTATTCTAGATAAGGTCCTGGGGAAGCCCACAGAAATAAGTAGGAAAGAGCACTCCTGGCCAGGAGAACAGCCAATGCAAGTGCCTAAGGCAAGAACATGACTGATATTACATTCCTCCTTGCTTCTCTTAAACATATCAGTAGACAGAACAAAAAAGAAAGTGATTGGAGATAAAGTGAGAGAACAAATGGTAACGTGAAATAATTTGACTTACATTTTTAAAAACCATCACAGGCCGGGCACGGTGGCTCACACTTGTAATCCCAGCACTTGGGAGGCTGAGACTGGTGGATCACCTGAGGTCAGGAGTTCAAGACCAGCCTGGCCAACATGGTAAAACGCTGTCTCTACTAAAAATACAAAAATTAGCCAGGTGTGGTGGCAGGCGTCTGTAGTCTCAGCTACTCAGGAGGCTGAGGCAAGAGAATCGCTTGAACCTGGGAGACAGAGGTTGCAATGAGCCAAGATCACACCTTTGCACTCCAGGATGGGCAACAAGAGTGAAACTGTCTCAAAAAAAAAAAAAAGAAAGAAAAAGAAAACTGTCACATAGAGAATAGACATCAGACATCATGGGAGTAGAATATCTAAGTTGCAAGGACACTAGGAATGTTGTAATTGTCCAAGGAAAAGATCACAGTGCTTTAGTCTAGAGAGGTAGCAGAGGAAGTAGCAGAATGTGGTCAAACTCAGAAGATACTGTGCTTATAACCTAGCCATTGAACTGAAGCCCAATTCATGTTATGTAATAAAATGCAGCTTCGTTTTATCTCCCACCGTTTACTTAAAATGAATGGAAACCTGGGCATTCCCAACATTTCCCCGTAATCTGTCTATCTCACAATTCATTTTGGGAATCTCTACCCCTTTTGGGTATTAGCAGATAGGCTTTGGGGTAGTGAAAAGCCAAGTCTACTTTCCCAGACTGTTCTTTTCCGTAATGAATTCAGGGATTTGCAGGCTGATCAGCCTGCAAACAACCAAGTGGTAGTAACACACAGGAGTCTGGGGAGTAATTTGACAAGTTAGCCTGAGGAGGGAAATTCCCTCTCTGTCAGAGATCTTCCAGGGACAACGGGAGCAGGGTGGACCACTCATAGGGGCAAGAGGTCAGGAGAGCTAGTGCTCTCAGGGGAGAGGAACTGGAAAGGGAATTTAAGTGTCCACCATGACGGTGAATCTCTGGGTCAGAGAATTATGCAGCCTGGAGTATTTTTAAATCCTAGGGTTTGTATAATCTATGGCTAGCAGATGTTGGGTGCTGTTTTATGGAATATGCAAAGGCAGGTTCGCAAATAGCTAAAAATATGCTCATTTGGGATATATTTAAAGCAACTGGATATGTAAAAATTTGGATTTTAGCTCTGACAGGTTTTTGAGCTCAGTGGTCCCAGTCTGGTGTGAAGACATAAACAACACAAGGCTATTTTTGGCTCATGTATATAGCAACCCATCCCTTTGCCCCATGTCGTTTTATAATCCGAGCTGTATATTACTTCATAAAGCCTGAGTTTGGAGCCAGTGAGTCATAAAGGAATCTAATGACCCAGAATCCAATAAGGGCACATGCTACGATTTTCAAATTCTGTTTGCGGGTAGTCTGCCCATTTAGGGGAAGAAAATCCGGAGAATAGAAAAGGAAGAGACTTTTACACATTTAAATGTTTAGTGAATGGAGTAACATTATGGCCCCTTTGGGACCTGTTCCTGGCTATCCATAAACACTGCAGAAAGATGTGTTAGCAAGTACACCTGCTTCTTTAGCCAAAAAATAATCCAGGCATGAGATGTGGCCATCAGTTCCAGTCCTTGGGCTATTCGTTTAATTTTTGTGGGTTATCCTGAGGCATGGCTATCTGAACACCTTTTAAATCCAGGGTATGTATGGCCTTTCGAATTAATTTAGCATTAGCCATGATTGCCAATAAGGACAACTTATATTTTTCAGGACTTCCCCACCACCACCACCGAGAAACAGCTGGATAGACTCGACATATTTCAGCCTCAGCCAGACTTGCCAAGTCATCATACTATATGCCATCTGTTGACTGATAAGCCCATTCCTACAACCCCAATTGGTGGAGAGGGTTTTTGGCCTCAGCTAATATTTTCCATTGACACTTTGCCCAGGCTGTTATAAGGACTCATGTAGGCTGAATACCTGCCCAACTCATACAAATCTACATCAGCAAGTCATCTGTGGACCAGGACCAAAGCTTCCTCTGTGGGTTATTCTTACCTTCTGCACTAATTTTACAGAATTCTTTAATAGGAATACCATTTTTGCATCTAATACTATGGCAGCCAATGGTTTAAATTTAGCTCCTGCTAGGTAGAGCTTACTCCCCACCAAAGCACTCTATGTAACCAGACTGCCCTTTTACATTTGTTTGTCAGGCTAGCTCCTTAAAGAGAAACTGGGTCTCAGCATAAGAGAAAGGCCACATTTCCTCATCCAAATGATAACCTTCTCCTCCTCCTTGGACCTCTCCTTCTGATTTTTGTGTCTTCATTACTTA